TTGATGAGACCGCATTCAATGCGGTAAGGCTCGGAAATGAAAGGCAATAAATGCTCCTAATACAGAGCATTTATTGCATCCTCCCCGAGAGGAGTACATTGTACCGTCGGCGTCCCGATGACACAGCATTGATTGCTCGGGACCCCGAGCAGTTAAGAAGAAGAGAAGACATTCTCATCAGAATCAGTGCACACACCGCCTGTACCTAATGATCATCTACTGACCACACTGACAGCAATCATGAGCTTTTGAGGTATAAATACTCCTTGCAAAAGGCAAGACGGGTATGCAACAACAAACTCTCTACTACAATATTTTCTCAGTGTTTTCTCCTTCCTCTCTCTTTCTCAAAGACTGACTAGATCGTCGGAGGGGATACGCCGGAAAACACTTCGGCGCCCTTCTGATTTGTTCTTCTTTGTTCCAGAAACCTCTTTCAACCTTACTGGATCGTTCTTCCGTTCCCAGGATCTCCCATTGCCGTTCCAGGTTAACACCGTACCTTGCAGGTTGTTCCAAGCAGCGTGTTTGGTCACTCAACGGGCTCACTCGAAGTTCACCAAAGGAGAGATCTGTTCTCGTTTTTTATATTGTGCAGGATCTTGCACGCACATATGATATTGTTATTCCCTCATACCAACCACAACACAACATAATGAAACCATATAATTTTGGATGCCTGGACACTACATATGTATACATTTTTCTCTATGTTCAGAGAGGCAGAGGCGACTCATCTTTGCAAAAATGCTTTACTGGTTAAGCTCACCGGTTGTCTCCAGACGAGTTAGGGAAGGAAAATGCTAAACAAGTACACAATTGTATGGGATGATTTTCGTATAATCACTCAAATGGTAAAGGTGCGTCCCTAATCTTTAAATATCGTCTGGTTAATTAGCTGCAAAATTAGACAGAGGTATTGCCGGTGGAAGCCTGTCCGATGTCAATTAATAATCGAATAGACAAGTGTATAAACTAAAAAAATGATAAGAATTTGTGTGAGGTATGGAGCACTCCTGCATATGGGGTTTCACCCATATTTATAGAGAAAGAGAGATACTTACTGTACTCATTTTTTATTAGTGGAGTTGGTTAAATTTATTAGTGGAGCTAGTTAAAGGCTGATATTTCTTTTTTGGAATCTTGGCCCCTAGCGCTGCATGCCGGTTGATGCAATCTCTTTTTTCAGATGATGGGACTCATAACAAAATATTCCGTCAATAATTCAAATAAAATTCAAAAAATTAGAAATTAAATGTATATTATTTCGTTTATATAAAACACTAAACAGTATACTGCAAAATTAGACAGAGGTATTGCCGGTGGAAGCCTGTCCGATGTCAATCAATAATCGAATAGACAAGTGTATAAACTAAAAAAATGATAAGAATTTGTGTGAGGTATGAAGCACTCCTGCATATGGGGTTTCACCCATATTTATAGAGAAAGAGAGATACTTACTGTACTCATTTTTTATCAGTGGAGTTGGTTAAATTTATTAGTGGAGCTAGTTAAAGGCTGATATTTCTTTTTTGGAATCTTGGCCCCTAGCGCTGCATGCCGGTTGATGCAATCTCTTTTTTCAGATGATGGGACTCATAACAAAATATTCCGTCAATAATTCAAATAAAATTCAAAAAATTAGAAATTAAATGTATATTATTTCGTTTATATAAAACACTAAACAGTATACTGCAAAATTAGACAGAGGTATTGCCGGTGGAAGCCTGTCCGATGTCAATCAATAATCGAATAGACAAGTGTATAAACTAAAAAAATGATAAGAATTTGTGTGAGGTATGAAGCACTCCTGCATATGGGGTTTCACCCATATTTATAGAGAAAGAGAGATACTTACTGTACTCATTTTTTATCAGTGGAGTTGGTTAAATTTATTAGTGGAGCTAGTTAAAGGCTGATATTTCTTTTTTGGAATCTTGGCCCCTAGCGCTGCATGCCGGTTGATGCAATCTCTTTTTTCAGATGATGGGACTCATAACAAAATATTCCGTCAATAATTCAAATAAAATTCAAAAAATTAGAAATTAAATGTATATTATTTCGTTTATATAAAACACTAAACAGTATACNCGCTTAAGTGATCATTATTTATTTATTTTTTAGGTTCAATGGTCAAAATATTCAGATCAACTTATGTGCACCTTGACTAATTCTTTCATCAATTCGATCAAAAACAGGTCATTCATGTCAGATCTAGAATATTCATGAAGAATAATTTTTTTATGGTTTAAGTTCAATGATTGTCAAAATTCGAATTCATGACGTATAGATTTATAATTCATCTTTATTATCATTTGAACTACTTTGAATTAGTATTCATTATTTACGAAGCTACGGATCCTTTATTAGAGTTTTGTTGGTGATCCACAATTACTCTGTTAGTGATTATGACTCGCCAAAACTATAGAACTTTCGGTGCAGTGACATTACAATACGGAAAAAAAAGAGTCTAAAGTGGTGGGAGGGGGGAGTAAAAAGGGGAGGTTTCTTTTGATTTTTTTTTACATAATTAACTGTTTTTGTTTGATTAATGTTCAGTTTTAATTGTTTATTAGAGTCACATAAATTCAATGAATTAGAAAAATAAATTAGATACGATGATTAGGTTCGATTATGATTACTATTGATGTACTTTTACGTCCTATACGATGGATTAGAAGGATAATGAAGTGAGACTAGGTAGACCAAAGTTGATGGTTAGACAATTACTACCAAAAATAAATAATTAAAACTTAGCTTTACCTTTTGAATAAATTAAGAAATAATTAAAGTTGACTTTTAAAGTTGATTTTGAATTGGTATGAACAATATTATAGGACTTAATTCATTGTAATCATTAGATAAATTGTTAGTTTTAAGTTTGGATCGATGATATCCATTGTAAATCCAACATGTTTAAACAATTAATTAGATCCTTAAATTAAATTAAAATTACATTTTTTAAACAATATTAGAAACTAACTTAACATATATACATGTCCTGTTTGCACGACAACAAAAAAACTGTTTTTCCAAAAAATTATAAAAGGTTCCAAATTTTAGCAACGAAAAAAATCATCACAAAAATCATTTTTTTGTTGTAATGTTGTTAACTCTAATTTTGATTATCTTTTGAAAGAAAATGTGCTTTCTAATGTGAGTCAAAGCTGTTGTTCACTCCTAGTTTAAGTAACTAGTAACTAGTTAACGACGTACGTAGATGATTTCATATCAAATGCAATGCTTGCTTTTGGAGTCCGAAAAACGGTTCAACATGATTCCAGCGTTTGTTTCGGCGAAATGTAATCTAGCTTTTGTATACTAATTACAATTTAATTGTATATTAATTACAATTTTTTTACGAAAAAATTAAATTTTTATTTTTGATTTTATTTCAATAAATGATACAATAGAATATGAATTTTAGTTGTAAAATTTAAAATATTATATATTATATATTTAATTGAAATTTTTTTTGTGTAAGTATAATATTTTAAAATTTAAAGGGTTTAAGTATTATATACTCACAAACTTTAGGAGATCTAAGTGTAATTTGTTAACGGATATATTACAATAAGGGTCTAAGTGTTACACACGTACAAATTTTAAGGGATCTGTATATAATATTTTAAATATCAAAGGATTTAAGTGACAAACTTCAAAAAATCTGAGTATAATTCCCTCTATAAAAGGTCATCAATCATGGCGCCATTAGCATGTCTGGATGGAATTTGGGTGAAGGATTGGATTGGTGTTGATGAAACTTTTATACATGGGTTTGATGAAATATACTTCGTGGTTTTGATGAAGCCCTTATGAATGGGCTTGAGGGAGTCTGAGTCTGTTTAAATATCGGGTCTGAGAAAGACATCTAAACATGAGCTATGACAATAAATTGAACTATTTTTTTAAACCCCCTCTATAGACCCACCCAAACCCTCGTAACAAATAGGCCCATAGGTCTCTCCAGAAGGAAGACCAAGGGACTTCTCTCAGACCCCAGATTAACATGAGAATTGGAAGTAACTAATTAATTGTAGCAGGGACTTTGAAGAGGCATGCCTATGATTTACATTCCTAATAGGAAAATGTTACATAATTTAAATGAAATTCAAAAATTAAAACCCAAATGAATATCATCCTTTAGATTAGTGGATTTCACTGAAAAAAATTGATGGGATCAATTCATCCAAGGGATGATATGCATTTGGATTATATTTCTTGAAATTTCATTTGAGTTTTGTAGCACTGCTCTTTCCAATATAGTTCATCTAAATCCATGCAAACAATCACATTTTAAACCCCAAATTAGCAGTAGGTGAAGAGTAGTCAGTAGTCAGTAGTATTCTAGTTGTTTATTTGCCATTAATGTAGACCAAATGGAATCCAAAGTTCTTGTAGATGACAGAGGAGAGAAATGTATAAAACACTATAGCAGTTCTCACAAGATTTTGCTAGTTGGTGAGGGAGATTTCTCCTTTGCCGCAAGGTTAGCAGAAGCATTTGGGCCTGCCTCAAATATGGTTGCCACCTCTCTTGATCTTGACTGTAAAGGTGTGGATACATGCACCATAGTTTCTTGGAGCATTCTTTGACAGTATTCAAAATTTTCTTTCCTCATTTGAACAAAAGTACTCTAGATAATATTTTTTATCATCGTTATGTATGTGTTTTATCATCAAAAATCATCCGATTACTTTGTGGGTATGTGTGGTCTAATTGGAAAATTTTTTCTCATGAATGCCAAACCAAAGTGACATTAGTGACAAAACATCATAGTGCGGTGGCAAACCCGAAGAAATTGGAGGATTATGGGTGCATCATTGTGCATGAAGTGGATGCCAACACCATGAGCCATCACCCTCTTCTCAATGTGAAAGCATTTGACAGAATTGTATTTAATTGTCCTCATGCTGGTTTAAATTACTTCATGTAAGAACACAGCATGGTCCAAATTGAGTAAGTCTGAACCTATGATCATTTTTCTTTCCTAAGTACAATACTTCACTAAATCATAAGAATGGCCTTGCTTAAGTGAATTTTTTTTAATGTATTTTCAGGCTTCATCAGAATGTTATTAAGGCATTCTTGAAGAATGCACGTGATATGTTAACAGAGAGTGGTCAAATACACGTGACTCATAAGACATCGTACCCGTATACTATGTGGGAAATAACAAAACTAGCAGAGGAGGGTGGGTTGCAGTTAGTGGAAGAAGTGCCTTTCACGAAATGGGATTATCCAGCTATCAAAATAAAAAAGCATATGGGTATAAAAGCAATAGGACATTCCCTGTCGGAGAATGTAGTACTTTCAAATTTGCCAATGCCTTAATGTCCATCAATTTTTCTTTGGCTTAGTTTATTCTAATTAGCGGTCAAGAGTATTTAGATTAACTTATGCACACTTCGATTAATTTTATCATTGATTTGCTCAAAAGTAGATTATCCATGATAGTATAGAGTATTTATAGGGAATAAATTTTTCACGTCTCAATTTACCGTTATTAATAATCATCATTTATGAGAACTTACAAATCCTTTATAAGAGTTTTTTTGTGATCCACAATTACACTTGTCAGTGATTATGACTCGCCGAAACTATAGAACTTTTGGTGCAATGACACTTAAATACGGAAAAAATAAAAAAGAAAAGCCTAAAGGGAAAAAAAGAGAGAGAGAGAGAGGATTCTTTTGAATTTTTTACAAAATTCACTGCTTTTTTTTGATTAATATTCAGTTTTAATTTTTCATTAGAATCACGTAAATTCAATGACATCAATGAATTAGAATAATAGATTAGATACGACGATTAGCTTTGATTATGATTAATATTGATGTAATTTTAAGTCTTATATGATGGGTTAGAAGGATAATGAAGTGAGACTAGGTAGACCAAAGTTGATGGTTAGGCAATCACAACCAAAAATAAATAATTAAAACTTACCTTCACCTTTCAAATAAATTAAGAAATAATTAAATTTGACTTTTAGAGTTGATTTTGAATTGGTATGAACAATATTATAGGACTTAATTCATTAAAATCATTAGATAAATTGTTAGTTTTAAGTTTGGATGGATGAAACCCATTGTAAATCCAACATGTTTAAGCAATTAATTAGATACTTAAATTAAATTCAAATTACATTTTTTAAACAATATTAGAAATTAAAAATTCCAGACGACAACATAACATATATGTCCTTGTTTGCACTACAACAAAAAAACTTTTTTCTCAAAAAATTAAAAAAAGTCCCAAAATTTTAGCGACGAAAAAAATCATCACAAAAATCATTTTTTGTTGTAATGTTGTTAAATCTAATTTTGATTTTCTTTTGGAAGAAAATGTGCCTTCTAATGTGAGTCAAAGTCGTTGTTCACTTCTAGTTTAAATAACTAGTTAACAACGTAAGCAGATGATTTCATATCAAATGCAATGCTTGCTTCTGGAATTTGATTAGTGACTTCCCTTCAACACGTTACGCTGAACTGGAATGGAATAATCGAATAACGGTTTAATATGACTTGGTCTTTTTTTTTTTTTTTTGTACTGGATGACTTGGTCTTCAAACCGTGGTTTTTAGTGGTTAACTTAATGACTACATTTAGTACCCACTTCAAAACCTAAATAATTAATCTAGCCCATATTAAAAGTATACACAAAATAACAGATTTTTACTCGTCATTATGATGCTAATTGGATCATAAGAAGATTGAATATTGGTATATAGACTTAAATTAATCAAATATGATGTNATCTAGCCCATATTAAAAGTATACATAAAAGGACAGATCTTTTCTCATCCTTACGATGCTAGTATATAGACTTAAATTAATCTAATATGATGTAAGAGACTCTCATTCAAATAATCGGTCAAAAATAATAATATTCATTGGACAAGAGGCATTTTGGATAAAAAAAAAATAATGATGAGTCATGACCTCATTGGTCTCTCAGGCTAGAAGTCTAAGAGGCTTTTCTCAACCAACAGATTGACATGGGCAATTTATCTGAAAATTCCTAAGAACCAGAAGGGTAATTATTGAGATTAGTAATGTTATTTGGATCTAAAAATTTGATGAAAATCACTATCAATCAAAATGTCATAATTAATTAGACTAATAAATTAAATTACAATAGCAGTGAATTTGAAGAGACATGAGTCACCACTATGGTTTACATTCCCAGTGCAATTCTCATAAATACATGCACCAAAATCAAATTACAAATCCCAAAACAGCATGCTTANATTATGGTTTACATTCCCAGTGCAATTCTCATAAATACATGCACCAAAATCAAATTACAAATCCCAAAACAACATGCTTAGCATAGAAATGGATAAAACACTATAACAGTTCTCATAAGATTTTGCTTGTTGGTGAGGGAGATTTCTTCTTTTCAGCATGCTTAGCAGAAGCATTTGGATTTGCCTTAAATATTGTTGCTACCTCTCTTGACTCTAAAGGTATGTAATAGTTTATTCTCTTTGGAGCATTCCATTCCATGACAGTATGATAATACTCACTGCAAGAAGTTTTTAAATAGTCGGCGTTTATAAACGCCTGCAAAGTCCATACAAATGTCAGCCACAAACATTTACAGCATTTGTTGCAAACGACGTCTATACTTCCGTCGGGAAAGATGCCTGCAATTTTTTAACAGTTGGGACATGTAATCCAGAGTTTGTCTCGGCGAAAAACCAAACTATGTAGATAATGATAGATCTCTTCTAATCAAAACATCGTATCTCTAATACTTTTTTGAGTGCAAACCAAAGAGACATTAGGGGAAAAGCATCCTACTGCGGTGACCAACCTAAAGAAACTGGAGGACTATGGGTGCAACATTGTGCATGGAATGGACGCCTGCACCATGAGCCAACACCCTCTACTCAATCTGAAAACATTCGACAAAATTGTATTTAATTTTCCTCATGCTGGTTTCCTCTTGTCTGAGCACAGCAAGCTCCAAATTCAATAAGTTACATCTAAACCCAACAACGGATGATGAAGACACAGAGATTTATAACCTTACCTACTAAATTTCACTGTTGAGGCACACCAGAATGTTAAAAGTGAATTATTATTATGCTTTTTTCAGACTTCACCAAGATATGGTGAGGGGATTCCTGAGGAATGCACGTGATATGATAACAAAAGGTGGAGAAGTGCATGTGACTCACAAGACGGCACATCCTTTCAGTATGTGGGAGATAGAGAAGTTAGCAGAGGAAGCTGGGTTGCACTTGGTTGAAGAAGTAGACTTTTTTTTTTCCTCAAAGCCACCCAGTGTGGGTGGGGGGTTTGACAGTACCCCTACTTGTATATATAACTAAAAGGAAAAAAATACAAGGAAGGAGGACATAGAGTCAAGCCTCCATAAGTGGAAGAAAGTCAAAACAAAAGTAAGATAGTGACTCACCACCAAAAGCAAGAAAAATAAATAAATAGAAAAGTAAAGTGGGGAATCTCCACAGAACAAAATAACTGAAAACATCAATGAAAATAAAAACTCAATGACGAACGTGAGGAGTCTGTCAAGCATCCAAGGTGAGGATGCTAGCAATCTCAAAAGGAAGGGATGACAAATTAGGAAATCGCTGATTGAGCTGCTGAGAGCAAGCCCAATTAGCCATAAAGTCTACATCCTGATTCACCTCCTGCAAGACGTGGCAGACGCGAGCCGAGAGAGAAGCATACAAAAGCCTAATCCGAGCAAGCAGGTAAGCATAAACCCAGCACCCAGTACCCTAAGAAGAGACCAGAGAAACCATTGTAGCTGAATCTGACTCCACCATCAACTCTAAAGCTCTTAAATCTGCAGCCAACTCCAACCCAGCACAAACAGCCTGTAACTCTGCATACAGAATAGACTGATGACCCATAAACAAGCCAAAAACCCTGAGTACCCGACCCTGGTGGTTCCGAATGACACCCCCTGCCGCAGACAGTCCTGGATTACCTTTAGAACAGTCGTCAACGTTGATTTGCAGGCAACCTGCTATAGGACGAGACCAAGCAACCAAGTAATGAGGTCGAGACTGAGGAACCAAGACCTTAAGAGAACCCACAAACTCAACCGACTCATCCTGACGCAATTGACTTGGAGTAAACCCAAAAGCAAGCCCAACCAACTGCATATCGACCATAACCCGCTGAATCACAACCGGCACATGAAAGGCCTGACCATCAAACCTATAAGCATTACACGCCTTCCATAAGTGCCACAGAATGAAGCATGGTAGCAGTACCCTCACGTGACCTGCAGAAGGAGCACAACCCCGCCAAAGAAGCATCAAAGTATAAGGAGACTAAAATGACCAACATCTGATCCCAAACATCCAATAAAAGTGACCCCACACCTGAACTGCAAGCGGACAATNCGCGCCTTCCATAAGTGCCACAAAATGAAGCATGGTAGCAGTACCCTCACGTGACCTGCAGAAGGAGCACAACGCCGCCAAAGAAGCATCAAAGTATAAGGAGACTAAAATGACCAACATCTGATCCCAAACATCCAATAAAAGTGACCCCACACCTGAACTGCAAGCGGACAATCCAAAAAAGGATGCCTAAGAGTCTCAACAGCCCCACCACACACACACCAGGATACTATATGAAAACCCCGTCTCTCTAAGCCATCATCTATGGATANAAACATCCAATAAAAGTGACCCCACACCTGAACTGCAAGCGGACAATCCAAAAAAGGATGCCTAAGAGTCTCAACAGCCCCACCACACACACACCAGGATACTATATGAAAACCCCGTCTCTCTAAGCCATCATCTATGGATAAGAAACCATGAAACAACCGCCACATAAAGAAATAGATCTGAGTCGGAATATGCCTATGCCAGACACAAGAAAACCCAGCCCGAACTGGAGCCATACCTCGAATATCAGCCCAAGTAGTCCTCAAGAAAAAATCCCCATCCAAAGACAACCTCCACTTCATCTGATCAACCTCCTGATCCGAAATTCGAATCTGCACAATCTTCTCAACAACTGAATAAGGTAAAACCCCTAGCAATCGGCCTCTGTCCCACTGTCGATCTGTTCAGTAATCAAAAACAGGAACCCCATAAGCTACCCCTAGTTACACTAAAGTCAATGGATAATCCCTCAACCAACAATCATACCAGAAACTAACCTCACCAGACCGTACTAACCATCTGATCCTTGGCTCAGCCACGTATCGAATCCCACACAACCGCCTCCAAAGAGGTGAAGCTGGGTAACAAAACTCAATCAGCCTAGGATGGGTGGACCTACAGTACTTGACCCTTATAAAAGTGGACCAAAGTGACTGTTGAGCACGAAAACTCCACC